AATCTATAAAGAACTTAAAAAGATCAGATCTCCCAAATTTAAAGACCCAATCCAAAAATGGGCATCTGAAATGAACAGACAGTTCTCAGACAAAGAAGTAGAAATAGCAAATAAACATACGAAAAAATGTTTAACATCACTGGTCATTCGAGAGATGCAAATGAAAACAACACTGAGATTCCACCTCACCCCAGAAGAAATGGCTGCTATCATGAAATCAACCAATAACAAGTGCTGGTGGGGCTGTGGGGAAAGAGGAACCCTGTTCCACTGCTGGCGGCAGTATAGACTGGTGCAACCACTGTGGAAATCAGTATGGAGCTACCTCAGAGAACTCGGCTTGGAGGTCCCATTTTCCTAGCTATTGCCCTGCTGGGTATCTTCCCCAAAGAATTAAAAGAATCATACCATAGTGATATATGTGCACCCATGTTCAGAACAGCACAATTTGTAATGGCTAAAACTTGGAAGCAGCCCAATTGCCCATCAACTGGAGACTGGATAAAGAAAATGTGTTTAAAAAAAAATAAAATGGAGTACTACTCAGCCATAAAAAATGAGAAATTAGAGACATTTATAACTAAATGGATGCACATTGAGGTGACACTCTGAAGTGAAATAAATAAGACACATATGTGTAAATACCGAATAGTTTCTCTAGTGTGAGAAACTGAGAGTGTAAATAAGGACTAAAAGGTATGGGAAGAAAAGGGGCAAAGGGGAAGGGGAAGGAAAGAAGGGAATGGAATTAATATAAGAAAATGAATAAATGGAAACAAGGTCTTTGTAAATAGCGAGGGATGGAGAAGGTTGAAGGGAGGGAAGGGGAATGGGGAAAAAATAAGAACCACGAGAGATTATGTAAAAGTGCAAATTTCCAATGATGAATGTCATTTATGTTGTATATCTAAAATGTACCAATAAAATTCATTAAAAAATTATTTAACAAATTTTAAAAGCCCCAAAACCTTTAGATATGGTTAACATTTTTAGACATTTTTCTATGATTGTGTATTCCTTTCCCCAAATTGAAATTAACATATATTGCTTGGGTATCTATTTTTTGAATCAATTATGTATATTTTGAACATCTTTATTAACAAATCCACTTTTACATCATTTTAATCAGTGAATAGATCTCTCTCATATATATTCTATAATTTATTCAACATAATCTTTAGTATTCAACATTTAGGTTGGGTTTTTTTTTTGGTGTTATTATAAAAAATGCTACAATAAGCAGTCATACTCTTTAGTGAAACAGGTACAATTTTAAGTATAAATATAGATGGTTTTATTTCCAATCTTTTTTAGTTTTTCCAGTAAAAACGTAAGAAAATCTACTGTTCTAACCTTACTTTTTTTTTTTTGAGACAGGGTCTAGCTTTGTGGTTCAGGCTGGCCTTGAACTTTTGGTGATCCTCCAACTTCAGCCTTCCAAGTGCTGGGATAAAGGTGTGCATCATCACATCTGGCTTGACTATTTTTTTCTTAAAATTTTTTCTTTCATGGTGCTAGGAATGAAACCCAGGGCCCTGTGTGTACCAGGCAAGGGCTCTGCCACTGAGCTATCAGCCAGCACCTTGGCCATTTTTAGATGTGCAGTCAATAGTGCTAAGTATACACACACAGTGTTGTGAAACAGATCTCCAAAACTTTTTCATCTGGCAAATACGAAACTGTATGCCCACTAAACAAACTTTTTTTTTTGACAATTTTTAAAATGAAACAGTTTTATTCCCCAAAACTTAGGTCTTTTCAATACTGTACACCTTTTTATGCCTACAATAAAAATCTTTGCTTTAATTTAAAAAAATTATAGAAATAGAGTATGTAAGAATTCATTGGAAATAAGATGCGCTTGGCATATTATGATTGAGAAAATATGTAATGGGATCCTATGTTATATTCTATGCAGTGAGGCTTAGTGCCCAATGAATTTTCAGTACATAAATGTTCATGCTAGATTCAGGATTGGTTCCTTAAGATATGCTATACTTAATGTGGTTTTGAAAATTTTCTACTTCTCTTTCAGTGTGTAAATCTAGCTTTTAACCTTCATTTTACTAGATCTAATAGTAACAGTTGTAATAAAAAAAAGTTTTTTGAGACAGGATCTCACTATGTACTTCAGGCTGGCCACAACCTTCCTATGTAGCCCAGGCTGGCCCTGAACTTGGGGCGATCCTCCCACCTCAGCCTCCCAAGTGCTGGGATTTATAGGTGTACACTACCTCAGCTGGCCAGCTGTAATAAAAATTCTTGCTCTGGTGCTCATGGGAGTTTTAGCTAGCAAGATGGGATTATGAAGCCTTGCAAATATGAAGTAAAAATTTTACCACGAGACACAATATTTAAATGAATCACAATTTTATTCTTTTCTATAATTCCCCCAAACTGTGAACTTGTCCCAGAGTATGAATTAGACATGCTTCACAATTTGCTGTCAATTATAAGAATATGATCTTGAAAAAGCCATGTAACTTTGATTTCCAAATACATGGAAGTAACTTTACAGTACTAATATCATACCAAAAATACTTAATGTCCACACCTCCCATAACAGAATTTTAGAAAACTGACCTGCTGGAAAATAAACCAAGTTTCAAAATTTCGTTTGTTACATCTTGAATGAAGCTCAAATACAATAGTTCTTCTTCACTGAAAAGGCAAAGTGACACAGAGCGTAAAAATGATGGCTTACTTTTTCTGAAAACTATAGGAAACACAAGTCAGAAATGTCTATTTCTAGTATTATAAACATGCTTCTGTTAATTCTTATTATGAAGGGGAACACTGTAAAACAAACATGTCTGCCTTCCAAACTAGGCAAGGATAAACATTAAAAAGGAGAAAATATTTCACAGCTGTCTGGAGTATCTATAGCAGTAAAACGTAAATGTAATTAAAACACAAAGGTGAGCAACCAAGGGCAAGAGATCAACCAGCAAGAGTCCCTGGAGCTGGTGTCCCTAACGAGAATTTCGCATCTCCTCTGACTTCTGACCACGCTCAGCAGCAGAGGCCGAGAGCACCCTGCTCAGCCTGCTCCCCACCCTCGTAAGCTTTCAGGAGGCAAAAGGGAAGCCATCCAGGGAGGCAGGAGCATTAGCTGTGTGCTTCTGCTGGGCACAGTGGTGCATGCCAGCACTCTGCAGGCTGGGGCAGGAGGATCGCAAGACCAGCCTGGGCTACATACGGAGTACAAGGCCAGCCTGAACTACGAAGTGAGATGCTGTCTCAGAACAATAACAAAACAAAACAAAACAGAACAATTGCGCAGTCCTCTTCTGCCCTGAGGACAGCATCTTGCATTAAGGTTGGAATATTTACTGAGCAGGATGATTTCTTTTTTTTCCCCAAAAATGTTTGAAGAGAAAAAAACCCTTCTAATACGATAATTTGTGAACAAAAATATAGTGGCCATTTTTAATTACTTGGATACATTTCTTTATTATATTATCCTATGAGATAACTATTTTAGTAGCCATTTTAAGAAAAGTAGGACACTATTGTAAATTTGAGTTTTAGTTGAAATTAGTGAATTAATAGAAAATGTAAATAGCAAGTACACAATTATTGAATAAGCAAATGGAAGATAAAGGGCAAAAATGTAAACTAGATAATTCATTAAAATGTTACATAAAAAGTCATTTTTAAATGATTCACGGGCTTGTTTAAAAACAGTCAAGTTTAGGAGTAAATAAAACTCTTGAAAAAATAATGAAAACAACATTGAAACTTAGAATTGTAATACTTTCAACTTTTTTTTTTCCAGTACTGGAAATTGAACTCAGGACCTTGTGCTTGCCAGGGAGGTGTGGCAACACTGAGCTAAATCCCCAGCCCTGTAATGTCTCCAAAGAAGTGAGGAGGTTAAAAATCTCTAGGAAGAGTATCCTGAGCTCTTAAGCTACTAAAAATTTGCATCTCTCTAAAATTCTTATTTTAATTTATAAAATGAATGAGAATTATAGGTACTAATTATTAAAAATAGTAGATACTAACTTAGGGACAGATTTCTACTGAAGATAAACAAGATTGATAATCATTCCAGAAAATTCTGGTCATTTTCGGCAATGCAGCTTGTATTATACCATTAACACTCCAAAGCTGGTTGTCAGAGAGAACAGTGTTCAATCTTGACTTACTTTATAATGGTTTCTGTGATTCTTAACTCTTGATTCCCACTAAACCAAAATGAAGAGGCCAAAAAGATCTTACTTGGAGTAGATTTTATTCTCTGAAGGAAGCTTCACAGAATACTGGCATACTGTTCTATGAGAAGAAAATTAAAATATTTTAGCAAAACAATAATAAGCAATAATATTTTATAGGAGTAATAATATACTTTGGAATTTTTAAAGCATTTTCAGATCATAATCTAATTTAATCTTCTAAACAATCCAGTTTGGCATGTTGGTTAGGTATTATTTTTCTCATTTGTTAAGGAGTTCTCCAAAAATCAGAGAGGCCAAGAAACTTACCAAGGTTAATGTTAGTGGGCAGCCATGACAGATTTTAAAACTATTTCACTAGGTATAAATTCACAGTCCTTTAGAAAACAATACTATAGCACTTGCCTAGTATAAACAATGACAATTTGACTAAGGTTAACATATAAATAACACTAAATACACATTTTCCTATGGAAATTTGTTAAACTGGTCATTATTATAAATTTTGTTCTTCAGTTATGTTACCATTAGTTATTCCAAGTTTTTTATTCAGGTATACTCAATTTTAATAGTTTATTTCTTATAAGTAGAAACTATTAGAAAAGATAAATACTCTTTTCTTTGGGCCATTCTTTAATACAGACTGGCTCAAGAGCAGCATAGAAATACAAAGCTCTGTGTGCCGAAGCACCATGAATTAAAACAACTAATTCCTCTGTGCCTTAGCAGGTGACATCTCCCCAGCAGAGGCCGAGGAAGAGGTCGGCTCCTGAGGGAACTGTGTATACATTGCTTCCAGTCTGCTATGCACACTTCCTTTGTGCCTTTTTGAATGTCTGCTCCTTTTCTTCTGCCTCCATCTCATATCCAATTTTGAACATGGGAAATTTGATAGCTGAAACTGTCAATGACATCTTTTAGCTTCTCTACCACCTGATAACCAATCATTTTTGTTTAGGTGAAGTATGTCATAACTGCCAAATGTGATGAATAGTTTTTGTTATTGTTGTTGTTGTTGTGTGGGCTGAGCCAGGGCCCCTCACATGCTAGGCAAGTGCTCTTGTGCTGAGCTATACTCCAGCCCTTTGTCTTTTTCTTTTTTTCTTTTGAGGCAGGGTCTTGGTAAGTTGCTCAGGCTGCTTTCCAATTTGCAATCCTTCTGCCTTAGTCTCTAAGTAGTTGGGATGACAGGTGTGTGACACCACAGCTGGTGAGATTTTGAAGAGTCCTCCACATAGCAGGGACAGATCAAGCATGAGCACATGGGAAATACTCAAATCACAAATAATGGCTCCTCAAATATAAGATTCGTCAGTCCAATTGGCATCATGTAAACGGGTTGGCATTACTGCCAGAGACTTGTCATGGGGACAATCCTTTTTCATATGAGTAGTGATGACAAACAGCAAGCCAGTGTCCCTTTTCCCTTTATTAATGAATTAGCAAGTAATTCATTGAAACCTTTATTGAGCACTTAACTTTGCAAAATTTTCTTAATAAAACTAACTCTACCACTGAAGAACTGTATAAGAGTAAAATAGATTAAAGCATATAATTAAAATAGTACTTATATTGTAAATACTATATATCTGTTTATGCAGGAAAGCAGTGAGATAAAATGATTTCTCCTGTGAATAGTTTACCTTTGTGAGGGATGCTGCAGAGTGCCATCTTTAATTGCATCCCATGTCAAGCCATCTCCTTGTAAAGGCAAAGGGGTTATTTTTTCTTTGGTCCCATATGTCATATAATTAGACACCTGGGAATGTAAGAAAAATATTTATTGCTTTAAAAATACATTATACAGAAATCAGAGACATTTATAGCTAAATGGATGCACATTGAGGCGATACTCTTAAGTGAAATAAATAGGACACACGTGTAAATACCGAATAGTTTCTCTAGTGTGAGAAACTGAGAGTGTAAATAAGGACTAAAAGGTATAATAGATAATGTGAAATAGGAAGAAAAGGGGCAAAGGGGAAGGGGAAGTGGGAGGGGTAGGGGAAAGGAATGAAGGGAATGGAATTAATATGAGACAATGAAAAAAAGGAAACAAAGTCTTTGTAGATAGGGAGGGGTGGAGGGGTTGAAGGGAGGACAGGGGAATGGGGATAAAATAAGAACCAAGAGAGATTATGTAAAGGTGCAAATTTCCAATGATGAATGTCATTATATTGTATACCTAAAATCTACCTATAAAATTAATTAAAAAATACATTATAGAAAGCAAATAAAACAATGCATAGCAAGTTTCAAAGAAAATGAATAAAGAAATCTAGTATGTAAAAGTGATTGATACATTATTATAAAAATGTCGTGGAATAATTTTTCTCTCTGATTTTTCTTAAACATATTTAAAATAAAATAAAATAACTTCTTGTATTTTAGTGAGCAACATTTTAAGACATCAGGAAGTCATCATAAATAAACATATAAAGAAAAAAATGAAGAAAATTTACGACTTTAAAGTAAATTTGAGAAAAAAATCCATCATTCAATATCCCACCTGTTTCAGCTGTCAATATGTCAAATATATGGAAGCAGTGGTAGCACTGGCAGTGTGAACAGTAATATTAACAAACAAAATATGGCAGCTTACTCATAGGCTCCTTCCTACCGGGACAGGCACTTACCTTCATTATTAGATTTAACCTTACAAGTCTGATTTGTGTAAGCACCTTTCAGTTTTAGAAGTGAGGTTAAAATGTGGACCTAGTGTGGTCAGTACTGTACTGGTGCCTTCAGGTCCACTGCCAATATCATTGATTTTGGGGCACAAGGCCCCAGCACTGTAGGTTGTGGGTGAACTTCTGGAGCACCATGTTGTAAAGATGGACTTTCTAGCTTTGGTTTATTTAGTTACCTGCAGAGCTAACTCTTCATCAAACTCAAGTTAGTAATAGCTACCATTTATTAAGCCCTAACCAGGCTAGGAACTTTACTTGCATTTTTTGCTCCTCCCAATGAGCCTGCAGGTTAATCACAGTTTGGCTAGGCCACTTAGCTCTTGGGGTTTTGTCCTTGAGCTCAAGTGGCAGGGCCCTAGGTCAAACAGCTGTTAATGGCTGAGATGGAAACCTATCACTTTCTGCCCATTTCAGAAAAGAAGGAGGGAACAGAGTGTGATTATATTTTATTCACGTATCTCTGAATCTGTTTTTTTTTTTTTCTTTTGAGGCAAAATCTCACTATGTAGTTCAGACCCGGCTTGAACTCACTATGTAGCCCAGGCTAGCCTTGAACTCATGGCGATCCTCCCGCCTCAACCTCCCAAGTCCTGGGATTACAAGTGTGTACCACCACTCCGGGCTGTACCTCTGAATCTGTACTTGACATTCTGACAAATCGTTTTTTTTTTTGTGGTACCGGGGATCGAACCCAGGTCCTTGTGCTTTCGAGGCACGTGGTGTAACCACTGAGCTAAATCCCTGGCAACAAACCATTTTTATAAACAATAAATTTAAGTTAGGACAGAGTGCAAGATTGATACCCTCAAAATAAAAAAACCAGTTTATATCAATATCAGACTCAAAGATATAATATTTTAAAGAAATGATTGCCAAGCATTCAAAATATATATTATGTAACAATTAGCTTTATGGTCTTTAGTAAAGGCAAATGTGAGAGAATGGTATCCATCAATTCTTATAAGCTACAATAATTTCTAATAATCTAATCAGTGATAATTCATTTAAAAATATGGACATAAAAAAAAATCAAATAACTAGCCAGGCATAGTGGTGCACACTTGTAATTCCAACACTCTGGGAGGCTGAAGTATGAGAATTGTGAGTTTGAGGCCAGCTTGGGCAAGTTAGTAGACCCTGTCTCAAAATAAAAATATAAAATAAGGGGCCGGGGCTGAAGCTTAGTGTGAAGGCCCTAATTCTGATGCTTGCAATTCCTAGTACTGGGAAAAGAAATCAAATGACTTCTATATAACTTTTACATAATAATGCTTTTAGTAATCCAAGTGCATTTTTTGGTATAGTATATGCGTAGAAACTACGCACATCTTACCATATACTCTTTTTTTATTGTATTAAATTCTTTTATTGGTACATTGTAGGTAAATATACTCTTATTTATTTACTCATATGGTATTTTGGGATGAAGTCTCACTGTACTGCCCAGGCTGGCCTCTAACTTGTGGTCTCAAGCAGTCCTCCTGCCTCAGTTTACAGAATAGCTGGCACTAAAAGGCACACACCACGGTGTCTAGCTCGTCTGACTTTTGAAAACAATATTTTATGTATTTTATTCACTCATTTATCTGTCCAGCCAGCCAACCATCTAGATGCTAATAACAAATGATTTTCCAGATTTGGCTGGATCCCTTTAGCCATTCCAAGAGAGCTATAACCATTTGTAAGCAGGAAAACCTTTTGCATACTGGCTATACTGTATACAACAAGTGCCACTATGAGATTATTCTTCATGGTTCAAACAGCTATACATATTCCATGCACGTTAAAGCATCTGTAACTCAAATGAGCAACACAAAAAGATCTCATATTTATTACCTGCTTCGTGTTCACTTCTGAATCTGTCAATTTCTTAATCTCAGATGTTCCCAAATCAGAATTAAAACTGTAATATTTAAAGAAATGATTTGTCACTCCTTCAAAATATAAAGTCTTTCTTTCTAAAAACAACCCTCTTGTCTAAAAACAAACCTCAAACATAAAATGAGATTCATTTATTTATTTTTATAAAGTGTGTAGTTTCTAATTATGTAATCAGGAAATATGGGTTTGGATTACATAGTCTTCTTCCGTTTTTCAAATAGCATTTAATTTCAGTTAAGTATACACTGGGAGAAGTGAAACGGGGACTATTATCTTTTTTTGTTTTGTGTTGTTTTTTTGGGGGGGACTATTATCTTTTAACATTCATGAATGTAATCATAAAAGGACATGATATATTGTACATGCTTTTCTTATTTCTCTCCCATTTGACAAGTTTATCATAGATTCAATTCCTTAACTTTTGACTAAATATATAAATTCATCTGAAATTACAGTACTTCTTATCTATATCCACATACAAGGACATTAGGCTTATAGCGTTTTACTTTCTAAAATAATTAAAATCTAGTACCAGATAAATTGTTTATGTAACATTATAAGATTTGTTTCTCTAATCACTCATTTGGCAAACATTTTTATGAGTATTTATCATGTACATGGGAAAACATTATTGAGGAAATGATACTTAATTTCCAGACATTATCCCAGTTGTTTAAATTATTCCCGGGCAGCTGCTGCTACCCGACTTATCATGTCCAGGTCAGTGAGCACAGGGACAGTGGGATAAAAATTTGGGTTTTCTCCCTCAACTATTTTGCCACTTTTAAAACAAATCAATGTGTGTATTTACACAAATGCTAACTGATGACATTTTAAGGATTCTATGAAAGTATAATATTTAAAGGCATACAAAAGTTCAAGAGCTATGTTTGAAAGGATAAACTAAAATATGCAACATTCAACTTTATAAAGAATGTGACAAACTTAATGGCTATTTATTTTTTTCAACAATTACTCTGATAGTTCTGATGACACATTTAAAAGAAGTCATGTTAATCTCACTCCAGTCAAAAGGCATTACCAGACCTCAAGCCGGACCCATGAGATGTACAACAGAAAGTAAGGAATATCGCTTAGTTAAGTTTCATTTAACTTCCTGGAGTTACTATTGGTTGTTCACATGCCATACCTGCTTAATTCAGTCTGGGTTTCAGGTTCTATCTGTGGATCTGTAAAATCCTTTCTTCTTTTGGCAGGTGTATAATATCGATACTGTGACAGGAAAGATTTTGCTTCTGTTTTTAAAGTGCGTGGAGTGAATGGCAATTGTTTGTTAGAAAAGAAGTCAGAGTGTTTTTCCAAAAGGTCCCCGCTGGGTGCTAACTGAAACCGGTGGGAATTCGGGAATGTGCTCCTGGGCTTCCTACCATACATTCCAGGGCCCGAGTTTCTGGGATCAGAGGTTGCACAGTCCATGTGGAAAGGCGAGGAACCGCAGTTCTTCGCAGTCCCATGTGTGAGAACTTTATTACATTTGGGCAGACTCAGCTGTGTCTCTGAGGAAGGCAGAAGAGCCCCTGCAAAGGATGTAAATCCATTCGCTTCTTCTATCAGTGCGTCCTGGTTCTGTGGTTCCCCTGAAGGCTGAGAACATGTGATTTGGGAGTCACCAACTGCATTAGAAATTCATACAATTTGGGGTGTCCATATTAATTTTCATGTATAACTCATTTCACCTTCACACCAGCTCGCAGTAATCCTCCAATCATTCCTTTTTTTTTTTTTCAGCAGTCTGGGGATTGAACCCAGCGCCTTACATGTATGAGGCAAATGTTCTACCACTGCACTCAATCACCCAGCCCCTACCCTCATTTACAGATGAAAGTGAATTGCAGGGTGTCACAGATTTAAATCTTTCCTGTCTATCCTCTTTACCATTATAATATTTAAAAACTCACTGAAAATTATCATTACCTATTCAGTTTTACAATTTCAAAGAACAACTGACTACTAAGTCAATCTTTTTCAGGGATAGTATCAGAAGAAATGGTATACAAAAATTTTCCAACCGTCAGATTTTAAAACAGTTGAAAAATCAACTCAATGGGACGGGTACAGATTATTTGAAAACCTGTTTTGCAAAAAAAGTTTCAAATTATATTTGATAAAAGAAGAAATGGACAGCTCTTAATGTTGACTGTTTAACACATTTTAAAAAATGTCTCTCACATGTATTCAGAAATATAAACACACCCACATCTTCAATTAATCCTACAGCACACAAGTTACACCACTGTGAGTAGAATGGGAACATGGGCTAAGGGGTGAATAACTGGGGTGGGACTGGCTGGAAGGGCTAGGAGGGTCCTGCAGGTGACAGCGTGCGAGTCTGCGTAAGGAAAAGAAAGTAGCATGAGGGCATGGTGAGCAATAGGAAGGGTTTTTGGTGTATGAGCTCATGTATACAGACAGCTAAGATGCTCAGAGGGCAGAGCTAATATTTTCATTTTAACTGTAGCAACCTTGTCAGTGAGCACAGACAATAGGCACAGTGTCTGTTATGGAAAAGTCCATCTAATTATCATAATATCCTTTCCAAAATAATAGTTTTAAGACAGTTTGGATATTTCTAAAACACTTATCAAGGCTTATCAAAAGTGTTCATAAGTTGCAAGTTACTCTGAATTCTATATGGAGTCAATAGAAGTATATACAAAAGTGTAACAGGACTATTTTTTATAGAGGCAAAAAAGTGACAGGCATTGAAGGAAAAATGAATAGAAAATACCTTATATTTACATATATATTGGGCCGGGGATTTAGCTCAGTGGTTCTGTTGCCTGCCTCACAAGCACAAGGACCCAAGTTCGATCCCTGGTACCAAAAACAAACAAAAAAAGCCAGACATCCTACATATATATTAAAATTTATAAGTAATATATTCTTACATTATTGTAGATACATAAAATACATAGATACCCTAAAATACGCAATTTAAACATTTTCAACAAACCTTACACCTCAAAACATTATTAATTTTTTTTTTTTGGTACTGGGGATCGAATTTGTGACTTTGAGCTTTCGAGGCAGGCGGCAGAGCCACTGAGCTAAATCCCCGGCCAAAATATTATTAATTTATATTTAAAAATGTGGAAAAACAGAAGCATTTTAAACTTTGTTAAAAAATTCTTGAAAATGAAAATATCCTTGTGAATCATACATTAATGAGCAAATTCCCAGATGGCAAATTATAGTACAGAGCATAGAACAGATTTATTCCAAAAGAAGCAGCTCTATTCTTGGTCCTTTTATCTATATAACAGTCTGGGGGTTTCTCAATCATGTTTGCCTCATTCCCTGAAGACTCCCAAATCTGATTTCAGCTCAGGTCTCCCTCCTGACACAGCTGCTCCTATTCACTACTTACTGAATATATCAGATGTTCCAAAGGTACCTTGACTCGAACATGTCCACACAAATAAACCCAGAACTATGTATTACCTTTGCTCAGAAGAAAACTTGGCCCTGTCACCATTATTTCAATGAATGACATACTGACATCCTCCCAGATGCCCAGGACACAAATGTGGGACTCTTTACCTCCTGCCTCTTGCCCTTCCCATCACCAAATCGGTCATCAAGTCCCAGGGATCCTACTTTCTACATAAATATCTTTAAAAAGTATTCCTTGTGTTCTCTGTACTTGCCTTAGATCAGGTCTTAATCTTTCTTTCCCAGATAATTGGAACCTTTTCATAATTAGTTTGTGCTTTACTGTGGCCAGTGTAGTAGTCTCTGTAAATGGTACGATATAAACTCCCAACTAATAACTGGTCCACAGCTTTCCCACATTTCTCAAAGAGCAAAAATCCAGATCCATTATTCTTCATTATCTTCTCCCTGTCTAGTAATATATCACTTCTTCATTTGCAATGGAAAGAGCTGGAGTAAAAACTATACCACACGGTACTTGATAGGTAGCACAGTGAAACTGGCTTTTGCCAGACAGGCAATGGTTTTTACAACATCATAGGTGCTAAGGACAGAAAACAAAACAAAACAAAACAAAAAAATCCCGATCCCATGCTGGAGAATCTGGGATACTCTCAATGGCTATTCCCCACCTAGGTGACTTGCAAGGATACTTGCTGCTCTTGAACACTGGCACTGAGTATAAAGGGACTACTATCCTTTGAAAATCTAAAGTCACATGTTGTCTCTACACAAGTCCATAACCAAAATTTGCATTACCCAAATGGGCCACAAAAATCCCGAGCCAAGACAACTCAGCCCCTCCATAATAAATTATATGGGGGATGGGAGAAGCTACAGATTGACTGTGATACTGGGGTTGAACCCAAGGCCTTTCAGCTGAGCTACATCTCCAGCCCTTATTGATTTTAAAAAAATACTTATTTTGAGACAAGGTCTCACTAAGTTGCTAAATTGCTCAGGCTGGGCTTGAATTTGCTATCCTCCTGCTTAAGTCTCCCTCAGTGCTGGGATTACAGGAATGCACCACGACACCCAGCCTAGATTTAAAAAAAACTTACAAATTAATGACATCAAATCCCAATTCTCATAAATAAAAAAATATGAGACAATGGGAGAACTCTGAACCTTGGATATTTGATGATGATAAAGAATTATTATTAACTTTTAAGGCACAGTAATAATGGCATTTTGGTTGTGGTTGAAAAAAAGCTTATCTTTTAGACAGGCAGTGTGATAAAAAGCTACAGTGAATGTTTAAACTTAAAGAATGTATTAAAAGACACATTGCCATCAATCCCCTTCAAATCAATCACCCTTGGTTTGAGCACAAATTATCCCATTATTCTTGCCACTTTCTGATGCAGTTCTGGAAGTTCTCTTTCATGAGTGTCTAGTTGTGCTGTTGTGGCTGCCTTGACGTCCTGAATACAAGTTTAAAACAGTTTGACTTGGGGGAAGAGCCAGAAGTCACACTGTGCCATCAGTGAAGAAGGTGGATGAAAACACACTGTAATGTTTTTATGAGCCCGCCTTTCCACTGGATGGTGCCCAGCAGCAGCATTGTTTTTTTTCTTTTTAAAAAATTAATTATATTGGTACATTTTAGGTATACAATACAGTTACATTCATCATTGGAAATTTGCACCTTTACATAATCTCTCT